TCGTAGCGTTTTAGCCAAAGATTTAAGTTAAAAATTAGAGTTTTCAGAAGAGTTGCCAATGGTTTGTTCCGAAATTGTATTTCTCATAGACTTTTACACTAGGAGTTAAAAAATGGAAAATTGTTAAATTAAAACTAATTAAAATTATATTAAATTTGATGTTCCATCTTCTTGGAATATGTTTTTACATATGTTTCTAGACAATCGACAATAAAAAATACGAATCTGTTTTATAATCTCAGAATTAAATTTTCATCTGTTAGAGTATCTATGGCTAACTTCTTTAATTATTCTTTTTTAAGATAACGTGTCAGAGGAAGAAAATAAATAGAACAATATGTGAAAACTGCAAAACGTATACAAAAATATGATAGAAATAGATTGATAACAACTATGAAAAAGGTATATGTTTGCATATTTCCACATATTTTTGCATATTTTTTGCATATTTTGAATAAAAAGCTTGCATATTATCAAAGTCATAAAAATCGATCTGGATGTGGAAAAGCACTGGAAAAGTATAGTCATAGTAATCAAAAACGACATCTTTCATATCAAAATGCCCCAACCCGATCAATCATCACCTCGACATCATCATCTTAAAATTCCCCAACAACCCCAACTTTTTATAAAAGAGGGCGCTAGTGAAGCTTAAGGTATGCTTGAAAATAAGGTGTTATACTCTTCCACATCCAGATCGGTTTTTATGACAGTCATAAATAAAAGCCGGCGTGATTTTTGTATGACAGTCTTAAATAAAAGCCGGGGTGATTATTGGTCCACGCTACCATAAATTTACTTATCATTTCATTTTTCTTAATTTTTGTCGTAAATTATGGATAAACCGCATTTTTTTTGGGTATAAGAATCGTTAAAAAATAAAACCATAAATTTTGTAATTTTTATTATTTTTGCAAATTATTCGCAAACCGTACTATAAAAAATGTATTTGACATTATCACCACCTGGTCAAGTAAGGTGGCTTAATACATACCGAATTTGGAGATTCTATCTTAAAATTTAGACGTCAAAAAAGCCTATACCACAACCGATAGGACACCCTGTAAAAAACTTGTGGTATTTTGGGAAGTAGGTAGTAGCTAGTACATCTTAGTAAAGTTTCCCGATTAAAATCTGAACCATCCTGTATATGTTTTTATTTCACAGTGTTCATAGTTCCTGAGATATTCAATTGTTCTTCCAATGTATACGTTTATATTAAGTATTTATATTAAGTATTGTATATTGTGTATTATTAATTTTAAACCGTTTAATAATTTAATAAAGTCATTTTGTATTTGTATGTATTCTTCCATCTGATTCATATTGAACATATTCTTTAGCATCCCTTCTTTATCGGTTTGAACCATTCATACATGGTAGTTACACATTTCAGCAAAGAGACGAGGAGTCAACTTAGCCACTCTCTCCAGTGTTCTATTCTATTCCATAGATTTGGCATATAATAGCTAAACGATTTCTTCAAAGACTCAAGACTAATTGTTATGGATTCACTAAAATATCCCAGTTTCTTTTTGATTTAATATAAAAAATCGATGTCTTGGTAAAATGTTATGAAATTTCAAATTATTAAGAAGTGTGGAAAAAGCACAGTATCAAACGAAAAAAATTAAAAACTTTTAAGTACAAAATAAAATATTGTGATGTAAACTTTTTTAATTTTATTATTTTAGATAACAATACGAATTAAAGTTTCTACAAGTAAACAACTATAAGTTCATATTTGCATATTTTATATGTTTATACCAAGACGGTACAAGTACAGTGACGCTAGAACCACGTAAACACATCAGTCGAGGACATCATGTTGAAGACTTGGGGTTATTATCAACTTGAAAATCGATTGCGTAACCTAAGGTGTTGGTCATGTTCGAATAAATTTGAAGATTATTGCTACATGATTTTGATTCCTTTGAATATTTTATGGGAAATCCATCCTCTTTTTATGGAATTAAAGAGTAAGACATTATAATACAATAATTTAAATTATACTAATAAGTTTAGGATTCACTTCAAATTTAATTAATTGTGTTAATTTTGTAGACTTTAAGGCGGAATCTGACAACTTTTTGTTTCACTTTGATATTATTAATGTTCAAATTGTAGCTACATGTGTAAATGTAATATTTATGGTTAATTATAAAAATGTAATGAATTTAATTCATGCTGTTAGCGATTTTAGTCAATTTGAGAAACCGATAAGAATCAAAGTTTTGGATAAATTTTTAAGCAAAGTCCTTAAATTTCTTCGTATTATCGTATTTGTGTCAGTTACATCAGCATTATATGTCGTGATTTTTGACAAAAATTGTGTTAAATATCGATTAGATACAGATTACACTTCTACGTGTAACTTAATAATGGAGTATTATGTACCGTTTAAAGTGAATCGCTATCAACAAGCATTAATGACAATATTTCAATTATTCTCCTTGACAATTGCGGGAGAAGTTATACTGATTTACATTGTATTTATATATTATACTTTTGAATTATTAACTATTCGTTTGGAAGACATTACTATGAAAATTAACGACATTAAGTTTGATGGAGACAAAGAAAAAAGTTTTAAAAAATTGCAACTTATTATAATGTATCATCAACATACTTTTCGGTAAATTTTACAACATTAAACTTTAGCATATTCTAAACTAGCTTATCCATAGGATTTTCCATATGGCCACCCCGTTAATTAATAAATTAATTGTGGGGTACAGATTTTGCATTGTTATTTCAAATACTTTATTGGTTGGAAAAATTATGTTAAATCCTGATATCAGAAGTATTGAATTATTTATTATTGGCAGTGGAGTTTTGTTAATGCACCACACTGTTGGACAACGTATCATCAATTACGTAAAAATCTCATACCCGTAAATTACTTATTATCAAAAATTTTGCCTTATTATAGAGTTCAACTGTAAAGGATGCAATTTACAACACGAATTGGTACGATGCGGATGTTGCAACTCAAAAAGATATTTTAACATTTCTTTGTATGCTTCAACAACCATTTTATATAAGTTACAACATGTTTGGATCTCTGGGTTATGCTGCATTAACCAATGTTAGTGAGTTTGTACATTTTGTGGTTCAATTTGTAAATTATTTGTGTAAATTATTTTAGGATTGTAAGAAAATGTATGCTTGTTTAAATTCGATGATAAAAATACTGAATCGTTAAATTTTACGAGAAAAATCAACGATGTTATCAAATATATGAAAAATATAATAGTTTTGTGTTTCTATGTAGAGGAATAATAATGTTAAATAAAAGCACATCTTAAAGTTTTATTGATGTTATTATTTATTATTAACACTTTTACGATTTATGTAATATCTTCTTGATGCATTTATGATTATGATTATAAAATTATTCAATAATTAGTTTTAGGTTAATGTTGTTATTTTCAGAGTGATGAGCTTTTACCACAGTTTGGAACTTAGACTTTTGGTTAACACATTTGCTGGCATATTGGCTGTTTATAAATATTTAACATGAAACAACTTAGCATCACCTTTTATAAAATCATATCACGCCAATATGTTTGCTTCATTTATCATTTAATGGTGTTACAGCCAGAGTCCTACCTTGGCCACCCGAATGCATTGTTTCCAACCTTTCCGGTCCAGTGATCGTGTTCTCCACATCGGAATTTTCAGAATTGACTTGCTATCCTTATTGACTGAATCCTCTCAGCGTTTTCTTGGCTTTCCGACTGACTTCCTTCCCTCCACCCTTGTTCATTACGCACGTATGGGTATTCTTTCTTCATCCATCTATATAATGCCTGATTGTATAGGATTTGCCACATATCCTGTTCTTTCACTGGTCTGAGGATTCGTTGTAGCACGGTTCTCTCAAAGGCTGCTTTACGTAATGGCGTTTCACTGCCATAGCAGAGCACAATTCTGACTGTGGTCTTGAAGATTTGCAGCTTCGTCTCTCTGTGGACGTCTTTACATTTCATAATTGGAAGTATCGTGTAGTATGCTTTATTCGCCATCATATGTCCTTGATTTCGTTGATTTCATTGCTGTCCACAGAGGGGTAGGTTCCTAGATATATGATATAATCCACCCTCTTTATATTAGTGTCCAATCCTGTCTGATTGGTACGTTTTCCCGTGACTGCACCATGACTTTCGTTTTGTCGCCGTTAATGCGACATCTATGCTATCGTATCGAGTCTAACTAAAAATTCCTTGGTGTGATTACGCTATTATGTTTATGTCGTCAGCATATGCCACAATCTGCGACGTCTTAAAGAGTAGCGTCCCTTAGAAAATTTTCTTATAACGTACTTCAAAGCCAGGTTTGAGGTTTACTTTAGTCTGGAGAGGTTTTGGAAGGTTGGTATCAAGTCCTTCTGGATCCCCTGAACCTTCCGCATAGGTTTAATCCGGTATTCAATGATCTTAGTTAAGATTTTGTAAGACATGCACAACATTAAGTTCCCTCTGTAATTTTAGCAGCGAAGTTTATCGCTTCTTTGTATATCGGATCTTTCGTACGTCCACATTTAGGACACCATTTTCTCAACAATGTAGTCCCCACCGCTTTTGAGGAGTTCCATCGATATGTCATCTATGCCCGGCATCTTGTTCCTTTTTTAGCTTCTGATGACATCTTTCATTTCCTCTACTGTTGGCAGGTTCATTGTGCTTCGATCGTCGCCAGCGCCTCGGTCAGGTAGTGATTTATAGTAGCAATCTGCGATGAATAATGAATATTGCCCCATCTCGTTTTTATTTTTTCCCCATTGCCGATTATATCTCCCATAATGTTCTTATAGAGGCTCGTTCTCGGTTGGTATTCTCCTTTCCAGTTTTTAACTAGGGCGTAAGATGTCTTCGGGTTGCTGGATTTAAACTCTTCGTCCATGTTACACAAGTAGTATAACAATGAGAGTTCTGGACCGGAAGTTGCTCCTGGTGCTCCTGCTGTGACGTGACGCTCCAATGTTATAAGCACAGAATAATCAGAAATAACACTGACATCGATTCATTTGATGTTGGTGCACATCGTATTGTGACTTCGATTTAAAACCCGCCATCTTATCGCGAGTTACCAAAGGCATAGAATAACTAGAAGTGACCACAGAATAACGTGGCAATATCACATTATTTTGTGGTAATAAGTATAGGGAGTGGTACCAGTTTAAATCTGGGAGGGATCTTAGGTTGGTAATGGAAAAGTAACTAGATCTGGTGATTTTTTAAAAAAGTAACTAGAAAAATTTTAAAAATTCGCGCCACCTTGCGGTGTGTAGCGAAACTAGACGGGTAAATTTGTGATGGATTTTATTAGATGAACGACAGATGGCGTTGTGTTGTATTTCCCTGTATCTCGGCTATTCGGAAATGTAAAAACGGGTTCTAATAGATTTTTTCATGTAGAATCCAATGGTGCACGTAGAATTTTTCTAGTCATCATGGTTTTTGAGTTATAAAGAGTTAAGTATTTTAGAAGTTGAGTATTCAGTATTTGAGTTGTGTTTATAACTCAAAAACCGTGATGACTAGAAAAATTCTACGTGCACCATTGGATTCTACGTGAAAAAATCTATTAGAACCCGTTTTTACTTTTTTACCAAGTTTCCGGATAGCCGAGATACAGGAGGTGTCTGAAAATCGTAAATTTCAAACACTCCTCCCTGTATATCAAAAACGAAGAAGGCTATGAAAATTTGGTTTACGCCATTGTAAGGTTCACAAAAAAGTAGCTTAGGTTCGCGAAAGCCGTAACTTTCTATCTTTCATAATAACTAAGATACCCTGCAAACCCGTCGAACTTGGACACCTGTACATAAAATTCTGCGCAACTAGACCGTTAAAAATTTTTAGGTTTTATGCTTCGTACGTTTCTGAGATTTTACGTGTAGGAGCTATTCATCCCAATCTTTCGATTTAAAATAATTTCAAGATGGCTGCCACATCCAGTGTACCGGAAGTAGACTACAACTTTGTTATTTTAATCGGAATGCTACAATTTTTATTGGATATTTGAATTGAAAAACAGTTTTGTCTAATCAAAAATCACAATCCAAAATTCACTCGCAAAAATTCCGTCTTATTGTTTACATACATAGTTTGTACTTTTACAATAGAAAGACAGTCCAAAGCCTATAGAGAAATATCGAAATTATGATCATTTGTGAGTCAAAGTGCCAAAATCCAGCTTTTTCTATTTCTGTAATATTTCTCAAAAAGCACGAAATACAGTGATTCATTCTGTTTATTTTGATTGTAACATTTAGGTATTAATAAAATAGTATGCACAAGTCTTAGAAATAACTTTGCCAATCGCTCTGTCTTCTGTTTCTTTGAGAATCCGTCTCTATGAGGAACCAGATATAGTCTCCCATCATTCTTTCATCTCAAATTCCCAGATAACGCCGCTCAATGTTCTTCATTTGTTGGTGGAACCTTTCGCCATGTTCGTCACTTACGTCACCAAGATTCTCCGGGAAGAAATTTAAGTGTGAGTGTAAAAAATGAATTTTTAGAAACGTATTTACATCTGTTGGAAAAAATTAAAATAAAATTAAACATATAACTGAAAATAATGTAATAACGTGTATTTGTAAACTGCCTACATCCCCGTAGCTTTTGAATTGTACATCGAAATTAAATTCAGAATAAAAAACGTGTCATTTTTGCATAATTCTGAAGCAAATTTTCAACAATTGTCTCGCAATTCGGGCTTTTATTGTTTCCAAGAAAATCAAAAACAATTAACTGAAACGAATTCTATGCTGCAGCTTCAACAGATGATAAATAGGTTTGAAATTTATCATCTTTTAAAAGTTTTTTTATTTGTGGACCGTTGAAAACACCTTCCTTGATTTTTGCGAAAGAAAGATTTTCAAATAAGGTTCTTAAATAAGCAAACGCTTGGCCTTCTATATCCAACGCTTTCACAAAATTCTTGAAGACTCCTAGTTTAATATGTAATGGTGGTAGAAGGATATTTTCTTTTTTAATGAGAGGCAAATATTTAATGTTGCCATCGCCCAGGGTATGGCTTTTTCTTTCAGGCTTCCTCTTATAATGGTGTTCCTTTGCGCGGCTGTCCCAATGACAAAGGAAAAAACAATATGTCATGTAGCCGCTTTGTAAACCACACAACATGTGGATGTGACTTTTAAATCGGCACAAACTTTGCATTCATGGTCTTCGTAATTAAGAGATTTTAATAGTTTAATCATTGTTTCGTACGATTCTTCAGGATTTACAGCATGCGTGATCGGAATTGATGGTTTCTCATTTCCATTATGCAAGAGAACTGCTTTCAAACTACTTTTACTGCTATTAATAAATAACCGCCATTCGTGTGCATTATAAGGCTGGCCAAGCTCCTCGAACAAATCGGGAATGTCTTTGCAAAAGCATTTGTTATCAGTTGACGTATAGTACTTTGGGTAAGGCCTGTCACCGTCTCTGTAATATGTTACTTTAACACTCGTAAGTGATGTTGCTTCATACGAGATGCATGTAATTCTGCTTTCTCCTTTGAAAACTTCAAGCCTCTCACCCAATCATTCAGTTCTTCCTGTGTAGAAGATGCTGTTCATGCTGTCCTTGACATTCAGTTAAATTACTTTGGAAATCTGACGTATCAGTACTTGAGGACTGAGATATAGTGGAACTTTGTGACTGAGATAAATCAGGGCAGTTGGGGATGGGAAGTGTATCTGAATGCGGAACTGGAAACGTGACAGATGGTACATTTGCATAAACCCAACGCATATATTTTCCAATTCCGGTTTGTTTAGTTAGGTAAAAGTAGCAGTCGGTTGTATGATAAAGTGGTTCTCTCCAAATCATTTGTACGCCAAATTTCATGTACCGCCTAACGTTAAAAAAAGTTATAAACTATAAATTATTTTTAACATGAAATACATACCCTGGCGCGCCGAAAGGTCATCCACAAACAATAAGATTTATATGGCAATTAAGACATAAAAATCTTGGTGTCCATTATTCTTGAAGATTCTCAACTGCTATTCCAAAATATTGGAGATAATTTTCTTGTACCTAGTAAATTTATGCATGTTTTTCTTAACGACATATTTACTACACACATAACAGAAATTAAGGGGGTCGTTTTCACACTCAAAAACTCGTTGTCTTTTACTCATTTTATAATCAAGTATACAATTAAACTATGTTACACTATACAATTTGTGAACAACAATAATTTTAGTAATCTTACTCTCCACGAAACCTTCCCTTACGGTACAGTGGGGGTTTTTATGATGCTCACTTTTTTCTTAACATTCCGGGAAAAAAACTTTCATTTGTCCACGAGAAATGTATTTATTTTAATATTGTTCAAGTAGGTAAAAACAGATGGGACAAACCTGTATGCAAAGATCCTTTGTTCTAAAACCGATAGTTTTCCAAGAATAATAAAATGCACTGGTACCGCAAATACCCTTTTTCGGGCAAACTGAATTCACTGACACTGTGAGTAAAAAGGCAATATACGATAGGAATACCAAAAAATATAGAAACAGGAAAAACCTGGGCATCTTCCTATTGTAAAAGTACAAACCCTATGTAAAAAATAAGACGGAATTTTTGCGGCTCTTACAGATTAAAAAAAATGTACACTTTATGAATTTTTTTTGTAGACTAGTGTTATTGAATTAGGAATATTTCGTTCCTCATTGAGGTATTTCCTTTTTTCCTTCTATAAGTTTTGTCCACAAATTAAATTAAATTTTTTCTTATTTTTTTTTAAATCTTATTAATTTGCAAGGTTCAGTGTAAGAACAGTGAGTGTCATTGGCACTCATCTGAACTGCACCTTGAGGTTCTCCAATAATTAAGTATTTAGTTATTTGATAGGTTGTATTATAATAACATATGGATTATTTGTATTATTTTATTGGAGAATAAAGGCGCTTATTATTATTATTATTAAATAGCGTGTTCAAATTTTCCAACCTGGCTTTCGTTGGTAGCTCTGCAAATTGTTTAGAAGACTTTTTGTTTATGGCTTCTCGGCATTTATCATAAAATTACACGTTTCTGTTTTGCTGAGTCCAATAGCTTATGACATGTGAAAAATTTTAAAATAGGTACTTACTACTTAACCAAGAAAACCAGCAAATTTTGACATAAGCCGTGGCGTGCCGCGTGGAATGGTGCATTCTGTGTGTGTGTGTACGCGGTATGTCCCACTCCAGTGGTCAGCACGTCTGAAATCCTTTTCGGTCCAAGACCTCTGTCTCCTCCGTCAAGTTGATTTTAACTTTCTCAAATCATCAAATCTGTTATAAATTTCGACTCCTTCCCTTGCCTTCACTGTTAGAATTTGCTCTTTTAAACTTCTTTTAATCTCGTACGTTTTCTTGCGGATGATTCCAAAATTGTCTGTGATAACCTCTCCAAGCTCTTCCAATTATCTCTCAACAATGCCCTGCTTTTCAACTAACCTCCCCCAGGACCATCATCAGCACTGTGCTGAAGCAGACAACCATAAGTTGGTACATATATAATGAAGACTCGTCATGTTTTTTTACGTGAATATATAATAATGGCCTCTGTCATTTCCACGACAAATATATTTACTAATTTGGCTATTCTTGGATCTAAAATATTCTAAAACTTCGCTTGCAATTAAAACAAAAATATATTAAATTTCAAAGAAATTGTGAATAACATCGATGTACTTTAAATTGCACCAAATTATTCAGTAAACAATTTTTACCCATAAACTTTTAACATCCGTTATTTTCAAGATGAAATATTCATCGAGGTTGTTAACCAAATTTAGTGAACCAACGGAACATTTCTTTTTAATATTCTTTATAGGATATTTCTTGGAAAGCAACGTTAATGTTAACTGTTTTTAAGCTTTATTATTCTTTTATTTTTAAGTTTTAAATTATCATAAATAACAATGATGTTCAAAAGAAAAAAGTTTTTGTTGTCATAATCGTTTTAATTTACAATTCAAAAACTTTCTCTGATCTTCAATCAACCAAAACAATCAAATGCAAATTGATAATGACCGTGCAGAATTTTAATGAATTGGCTTCAATAACGTAAATTATGCCTGGTTAAAATGTACGAAATAGATTTATAATAACAATTTAAAAAATTGTTGTAAGAAAAATTTTGTGAGGGCGTAAATTATTATTAAAAAAAAGTTTTGTGTAAACAAGAATCTGTGTCAACCAGTCAATTGAACATTCTTCTTATCTGCGATTAACTGGGATTTTTTGTCGTATTATTGCGTCTAGTGATCCACGATAGTTGCAAAATCCGCTAGAAATGTTAAGGTTAATTTTATTATTTATATGTATATTATGCATTGTCAGATGGTGGATGTGATACGGGCTACAATCTTGTAATATGTATGCGTTATGATGTAATCGTTTGAATTTAGTTTCAAATTAGATGCGTTACTACCCGTATTTTAAAAAGATGTGGGCTTTTTCGTATAATTTATTCCATCTAATACCACTCGTGTTAACATCTGTGTTAGTTCTCTTTACCCAGTTAATTTTAAGTAATCAAAAAATTTTATAAACATGACACTTCTTGTCTTCGCTAAAACATCCTTAAGTCACGACTTGTTCTTTTAAAAGATGAATTACCATTCAAAATACTTAACAATACCTAATAAGTCATCTTTAATTTGATCTTTCTTAGATAACGTCATGTCAAAAAAAGAGTAATAATAATTTTAAAAATGTATACTTTCAATTCATTTTAGAATAATTTTTCAATAAATTCATTTCGTCCGTAAAATTGATGACCCCATTAAAATTTCGTAAAATTATTAGAAAGCGTAGGCGCGTGTTAAGGAAACAGGAAGTGAATCAAATTAATTGGTTGTGTAACATCTATTACGAAAATTATAAAATAAATAGAAAACTTAAAAAATAAAAAACGGATATACCATTTCTTTGTATAATTAAGAAATAAACATTTCTCTTATAAATATTTTTTGTAGATATATCATCATTACAATTGAATTCACCTCCTGGAAATTGTGCAAGTTTTAAAATAATAGCGAGTTACGTTAAAATCAATTGCTTGTTTCACGATAACGTAATAACTCGGTTTTCCATCGAGATTGTTATTAATAATGCAATAATAGACGGATAGACGTATCTTGCCTCAAGTTTCGTTGAACCTAACTTACATTGCATCTAGTAGGTTAATCCTCCTGGCGGTTTAGATGGAACACAATTGTACCAGATATACGTATAATGATTCAATAAAGAGACCTTGTGGAACCGGGTAATGATCCTTTGGACGAGACGCGTTGCACAAGAAAATCACGGTAATTGAAAAACTATCGAGATTATATTAAACTGTTGAGAAATGTTTAAATTTTTATCGTGTTAAAACTTTTTTTTTAAAGTTCATTTTTATTATATCGGCAATTTGTTTTAATTTTTCGTATTGTTATACCGTTTTTGGTTAAAAAATGTCGATGTTCTTGAAATCTTGTAAAAGTAGAGTTTTGCAAGCACGTCAAATGAACAAGAGACCGATGAAACGCAGTTCTCAGCGTTTATGATGCGTGACCGGGTCAAGAAGAATGCAAATAAGGAGTCGAACAAGTGTGTGCGTAGAACATTGTGACAGCGGCGATTTATTAATACTGGGGTTTTATATTGTCGTCGTTGTGTAATAATTTTCTTAACCGGATGCTCGCACATCGCTACTGAAGAAGAACAAAATTTAAATATAATTTTAGTAAATTGTTGAAAATGATAGATATAATTCGTATTTAGGTAGTTTACAAAATATCAAATTGAAAGTAAAAACGCATTAAAAGTAAATTGCGGGATATACTGCCACAAACACATCCCATGCTAGTGAGTAAAATCACTCACACTTGTTTATTCGGTAAATGAAAATGTAGGAATGTAATTTATTAATTTCAGACCTATGTGAACTTTTGATCCTAACAATTTCTTACTTGGATAAGTCCAACTACTTATTGTCTATCTTATAAAATTATGAGTTATGAAACTGAATAAGCTAAACTTATTGTTAGATAAAGACAAAAATAAACTATTTAAGCTCGTTACTACCATCTCCTGGTTAAGCTATCTAAGGGATTATTACCACGGTTACGGCTATTTTACGCGCTCTGATTGGCTAGTAGATGGGTATATCTATAAGATAAATTTATCTAAAAGATGGTAGTAATGGACCTTAAAGATTTTGAAACGAGTTAGTTTCAAGCAGTTTTACTGATTCTTCTGATGACTAAAAGGCTCCTAAAAGATTGTATCCCAAGCCAGGCAAACAGAGCAGTCTTATATCTAATTACCTCTTACCGACTCTCTCAAAAGAAGAGAACATAAAGTTTTGAATTATCCTGTCCTTATCCTTGGTGATTTTAATTTGCCTGAATATATTAAGGCACCTGATATGTCAACCAAATGTGCAAAAACGGAGTTATTTCGTAACTTTTGTGATTTTCTGGACCTTCGCCAACTCAATCATGTACTGAACTGTGACAATCGTCTATTGGATTTGGTTCTGACAAATACTGACCATCAGTTTGATCTTGTTCATGATGATTGTCCCTTCGTCTACGAGGATCAGTACCATCCTGCCTTAGATATTACAATGAATTTACTGACGGCAAATGATGGTTTGCCGAACTTTCCGTCTTTGGGTGGTCGATATAATTTTCGAAGGGCCAACTTTCCTGGCATGTATGATAAACTACTTTACACGGATTGGTCTTTTCTAAATGTGGAGGTTAATGCGGATGATGCTTTGCGAGCTTTTTATAAAAAGTTGTATGAGATTTTGGATTTATTTGTTCCTAAGAGATTGAGTCGGGGATCCTCATACCCTATTTGGTACACCCCAGAAATTAAGCGGCTATTAAAGTTGAAAGAGTATTATAGGAGGAAGTGGAGGAGAAGCAATAGTGCTTTCTATTCAGCGGAATATAAAAGACTGAGATGTTTGACTAAACAGAAAATCTCTGATGCGTATACTTCCTTTACTATTAGTGCTGAACAATCGCTTAGTTCTGATCCCCGTAACTTTTGGAATTATATAAGACAGAAAACAACGACCTCTCGACTTCCTGGAAAAATGATGCGTGATAAGTCCACCTACACTGATCCTGAAAAAATAGTTAATGCTTTTGCAGATCAATTCTCTGGAGTATATTCTGGTGTCTCTGCTTATAACATGGTTGATGTACACTCTACGTATCCTCCAGTATTTGTTGCCGATGTCACCGAAGAAGAGGTTCTTCATTTCCTAAAAAGGTTACCTAATAAATTTACTGCTGGTGATGATGATCTTCCTGCATTTTTCATTCGTGATTGCTGTGCAGTTTTTGCAGTTCCGCTTCATTTAATAATTAACCTATCCTTAAGCACTTGCTCGTTTCCTAAACTTTGGAAGCGCTCACGCATTGTTCCTGTATTCAAGCATGGCGAACGTACCAACATTACTGATTATCGACCAATATCGTTATTGTCCAATTTCGCTAAGGTATTTGAACAGATTATTTACAAGATGATTTATCCACAGGTTCAGTCATTTGTGTCACCATATCAGCATGGGTTTATCAAGCGTCGTTCGACCATTACCAACCTCGCGGTGGTTACTGAGGTAATTTGTGAATCTTTGGATAGGGGCGGTCAGGTAGATGTGGTATACACTGATTTTTCTAAAGCATTCGACATGATTCATCATGACGTCCTCTTGTATAAACTTAGTGCTTTTGGCTTATCTCCTAAGTTTATGAAACTATTTGCCTCTTACCTATCGGGTCGTATAAATTATGTGTACTACAACGGTTATGCGTCTATGGAGTTTACGGCTAGGTCT